TTGCAATTACCCAATTCACATGAGGATCATCACACGAGGATCGATGATCCAATGTAACCTATCATGCAACAGTATCACATCCCTTTTGTCACGCGATATTTCAATCAAGTGTGAAACACGGAATTGTCATTCTTCTTTACCTGACCATTACTTTCTCAATCTCTGAGTGGAGTGACTATAGCAATGTAAAAACCATTTTCATTGTAGTATGGCCATACATTTTCTCAGTCTTACTCATCGAGGAGCCTAGTAATATCCTTCACATAATATAAAAGACAAATTCCATCTTAACCACTGATATTCCTCTGCATGAATATCACTAAACTCAATCATAGCCTTTACGATCACCCGGTCAAAGGTGACTTTTAACTATATCAAAGTTCAGCGGTCATCATGTAGGAATCCATGATGATCTCAGGTCAAAGGGTTTAGTGATATAGTTACACATGAGATAAGCTTATAACTTGTACCATGCAACTTTCTTATAACGGGTCAGTCCAACACCTTGTACTCTTTCAAGTGCCTATGACTTTGATTTGTGTCTCTATAATTAATTAAAGTCATACTAGTCTTGTTTTATCTGTGATCTCTCATAGATAACCGACCAGGGATATTTACGACAATCACTATAGTTTGTCCAAAGATACAATTATCATAGTAAACATGCAATTAATATGATAACAAAAGAGAAATTCATTAAATAACAATGTGCATAGTACAATGATTGGCCCTAGAGCACAATTTCCAACACTTACATTCACGCAACTTCCCCTAGACAGGTTTTGGCTTCTGGGTGTCTCAAAGAAGGAGGCAACTCAGGGTTGCGAAGCATTGGTCAATGCCCACTTCAACGATAGGTGTCAGAGATTCACTTGTGCTTCACATTTTTTATAGGCCTTTTCTAAAATTACATTTCGGCCCTCTGTTGCAAAGGTAGTATCCATGAGCTCTCGCAAGTTTTTAGGCTTTAAAACACAGACATATGCTTTCACCTCCACCTAAAGCCCATTTAAAAATATACCCATTAATGAAACTTCAAATACATCATTAAGGGTTGTTGAGAGCATTTCAAACTTCTCCCTGTACTCTAACACTGATCCACTTTGTCGCAAGGCTGCAATACATTTATGGTTGTCACTATGTTGAAAGCAATGAAACTGTTTAATGACGCCTACTTTCAGCTTCACCCAATTCACCATAAGAGCACAAGTCTCAGCCCATTGAAACCAATTCAAAGCTTTTCCTTTCATTCTGACCAGTTACCACCGCTGCATCCATCTTTTTAACTTCCGAAACACCATTAACAAAGAAATATCTCTCCATACGGAAAGTCCAGCCAATCAGGTCATCTCCTTCAAACAAGGGCATCTCCAATGTTCTATACTTTTGCCCATTTCTCCCCTCCTATATCGACCACTTCCTTGTGTCGATCACCTACCTCTCCTTCTGCTTCTGCCCTTAGTTCCTCATTGTTTAGGGGCACGACCACATTTTCTCCTTCTCCAATCTCCCCCACCTTAGTTTCCCGTGTTAGTTGCCACAATACAACCAAGATATCACGGCCCTATTCATGTAGCTAAGCAAGAGTCCTCTGTATGGCTGTTCTTTCTCCTTGTGCCACCTCATTAGCTCTTTGCAACTCTACTATAGTTATGCTTAAATCCACTAGCTCACTCACCGACTTCTCCACACTTTCCATCCTGGCTTCCATTCTCGTATTCACCATCCACAAGACCGACCTACTTTGATACCAAGTTGATGGAACTAAGAAACATTGTTGATATATTGCCACTATTCAAGTTAGTTACAACCTCTTTTTATGGCGATAGAAGGGGAAAAAGGGACAGGTGAACTAACTAAGAACAGTAACAAAAAAAACTAGCCATAAAAGGGAAGGAAAATAAGGAAACAAATAGAAATGCTTCCCTGACTTTCGAGAGTTCAGGAGCTCACCTAGCCACCGTTGCCCTGATTGCTACACAACCCTAGATAATTGCTTTTGTGCCACTGCTCTTAGGGTTGTTAGCATTTGGGCTTGTAGTTGGATTCTTTGCTGCCTCTATCATACTAATAGGGCCCTTCTTGGCACTCTTGGGCTGTCCTCTCTCATACGCACAGCCCATTAAGGGTGTAGTCTCATCAAGTTCATTTTTTATTTTTCCTTTATCAAACCAGCAGCAAAGCCATTCTCCAACTTGATGGCACCAAATAAGCAATCACTAGAGGCTGTAGACTTGAGCAATGTTTAGAGTTTCAAGTAGCATTACTCAAGAGCAGTCAAACTGGTTTGAAGTGAAACACCATTGAAAATTTGTGAGTCAAAGCAATCCATCACAAGGATTGAAGCATTCATGGCAAATATAGCGATGAAGTTCACAATGTTGGTGACAAACAATAGTGGTGGGGACCTAGGTGGATCATTGAGCACCAATTGGCCTCCGACAACGCCACAATCCAACACATAAATAGATTCATAGAATGGTCAAAATAACTATAGCATGCTAATGAGCTCAAAGGAGTCAAATGTCCAAGACTCAATAAATCCAATTTCAAATGGCCAAATGGCCTCAAGCCTTCAAGTTGATTAGCACTATATTTATGGCTCAAATGCGGGAATCTTCAATTCAAGCATTGAATGAAAATGCACTGATAACTTTAAGGAGATATAGTTTGTTCACAATGATATCGTACAATCCATATAGCCGACCCCACTTAGTGGATAAGGCTTATTGTTACTGCTGCTAGTATTGTTATATAGTTTGTTCGCATTGGTTGTGTAGGAAGTGCATCAAGCAACAAAATGAGTAGGACCACTCAAAGCTCTTCTACATCAGCGAAAACGTAGGGGATGACCTCCCAACATTTTCTACGTTTCTATTGAAGATTATATACAATTGACAGTCATCTAAATGGTTTTTAAAGCTAATTTGAACGTTAATTGATGAAAGATTTCATAGTGAGGGAGAAAAAGTTTAGGTTGAGTTTGGCCCAACACATCAAGCTTTCACTAATAGTGTTCGAAGTGTCTCTAGAAACAATAATTACAATAACAAGTCTTATCCCATTAAATAAAATTGACTAAATGAATCACATAACCCATTGTGCTCTATTACAATTATTTGATCAAAAAACATTCACAATGAGATCAACCAACTTGTGCTCTATTAACAATTATTTGTTCAAAAACATTCACGATGAGATCTTGTTATATAACTTCCTCAAGTGTCCTCCTTGATTCCCCTCTACATCTTCTTATAAGGCTAAGACCATCTACTCAACTCTCCTCATTGACGTTTCTAACAACCTCTTTTGCACACGTCTAAATCACTTTAATCAATTTTTATCATTTTCCCCTAAATAGGTGACACCTATTTTTCTTACCATACAATCATTTCATATCAAGTTTTTTATTATATGACCATGTATACATTTTAATATTCTCATATTCGCTACCACTATTTTTTGCTCTTAGTGTCCCGTTGATGTCTAACATTCACAACCATATAATCACCAATCTATATTAGATAGGTAAAGTTCTAATATAAAACCGTGGTATTATAAATTTCTAATGTAAGTTTAGTTTTCCTGGCAAGAGCTGCATGCATCCTAGCACCTTAGAACTGCTTCTCCTAAAATGTTTTACTAAGTTTGGTAAACATAATGAAACAAAAAACTTTGTGTTTTTATGCAATATGTGGGATTTTATGGTTTTTTTAGTTGGCAAGGAACGCTTGCCTCTTGAGTCCATATCTTCAACTTTAAATATGTCATGATATAGAATTGTGCATATGACTTCCCATTTGGTGCTCATATCATGGATTTTTTTAAGGGAATCACAATATCTAATATGCAAAGAGATTGGAAGGCTCTATAAAAACTTTTTGTTCTGTTTAACAATCTTGTAATTTCTGGTTCAAGGATATGTTATCTTCCAAAAAGTTGTAAATGCTCCTTTCTGATAACTACGCTTTTCTATCAAAAAAAAATGTTAAAATCACAAAATTAGCTGTTGCAGCAGAGCTTTAGATTCAGTTGTCCACATGGTGTCAAACCATTGTCAAATAAGAATGACATACATGTGGCCATAATTAACTCAACAACTGTTCTTAAATTTGAGCATGATGCCATGAAAATCAATTCCACCCCCCTCGCACACACATGCACCCCTATCTCATATCCTCAACAACCTCGGTATCAACAAGTCTATCATCTACAATATGGCTTGCATAACAGTCACTAAACTAAGCCCAAATTCTCATTTTAACTATCTGCATATTGCCTCACCGTAAAACTATAAACCTCCAATCCACAACTCTACCCTTGAATAATGTTACAAACCCAACTTTTTTTTTATGTAAAAGAGGAACAACTATGAATGACAAATGTCAAAAACAATTGAGTATTGTTGTTCAAATTCAATGAGGAAGGATACCCCGCCTATGGCAAATGAGATGCATCATAAAGGCAACACCCTAATTAAGTTTCTCCACACAAATGGTACATACCATAAACATTGCAAAAGAATCTTCTTATGACACATAACATTACTATATCAACAAAAGATATATTTCTAATATTGCATTTCCATATTCTCCAGTAAGGTGATCATCATGACCAAATTCCAACACCAAAAATGTGTATTAAGTAACGACATGAAGCTATCCTTACACCACTATGTAAGATAATCCATTTTAATATACCTTGGTACCAATCACCTCATGTTCAAGCTTTTGTCTGAAATAACAACCAAAATACCTTTAAATATATAAACAGGAGATGAAAAAAGGTAGACTTGTTGGATTATTTTCCTACAAGTTTGAAGACATTGGCATACCAAACAAACCAAAGTATAATTTTTGGGTCAAGAAAACATAAGTTCCAGTGGGGACACATTCCTCCCATTATCCAACACAATACCACTGTCGAAAAGAAATTTTAAGATGTAAACATTATATCATAAAAAGAATTCACAAGAACAGGAGGGAACAGGAAAGCAATACCCTTCAGCTGTTGCACAATCCCTTTAAGCATACTTTCTTCTTTTCTTAACTTAGAAAGTTCTGCCTCATCTCTTGCTAGAGCTAGTTGTGCTTGTTCAACTTCTTGCTTTCGCAACAAGATACCCTCTTGATATGTGACAATCTTTCTTTTCAGCTTATCTCGAGCAACTTTCCCAGCCTCCCAGCAATTATTTGCGCATTTTACTTTGCTATCATATTCATCACTTCCATCACAGCAATCTGCAAGTTGTAACAAGCAAATAAAATTACTATAGCATTAATAACAATATCAAGCCAACAAAAGAATCCAAACTATTAAATATTGTAATCTATCAGATAAAAATTTTGCTATTCTTATTTTCTCAATCAAAATATTGGTTTGTGCACAATTTCAGATTCTACATAGCCACACCAGAATAAAAGATAGAAAAGGAATCATCTCTACAAAATTTAGGAGGGTAGGGTTCATCCAGCTGAACAGCCCAACTGACCTATTACTATCAGGCCAATATAGGGAGGGGGATGGACTGCAGCTAACTAGGCCAAGCCAAGCAAGCACAAGGCTGGCCATGCAGCCAATTTAGCCCAGCCCAGGCCAATAAAAGAGGCATCAAAATGAAACAAAACATTTTGAGGCCATTTTGCTAGAAAACATGTATTTTTAAGACTAAATAAAAAGGTCAACATGCATTTTTGAGAGAAACTAGGTAAAAGTCCCCTTACATTGCTCAACATTTGAGAAATGAATCACATTAGTCAGAGCGTATGAACAGCATGGCTTACTGTAGATTTTATATTTCATAGCAAAATTGATGATAAACCAATTAAGCCACCTTCAACTACATGCATTGGTCTATCTTCAAAGGAAAAGAAAACCTACTCAGTCAAACCACCAGACTTGGTATTATTGCATTTTGGAATTTTACCCTCTTTGACTGTTTTCTTCTTGTTTCCTCTTCCAAAGCCCACCTTTTTTTCATTTCTATCATATAGATCTTAGAAGGGGGAACATACCAAAATGAGGGATCATATACTGAAATTGGTCATTTGGATACAAAGATATGAGGTGTCAAAAGTTTCAAAATTTAAAATGTTGGAGAAAAACCTTGATAAAAGTCCCACATCTATAAATGATAAGAGATGAAAGGCATGTAACTTGTGAAAATTCTAATCAAATAGCTCAACCCATTTTTGAGAAATGAATAAACCCAATGAGACAAAAAAAAAATTAATATCTCGTTAAGAGGTTAATGACCATTGAGTGGGGTAGTAAGGTCTTTTATTTCATTTTATCCTATTTTAACACCTCTTAATCCTATAAATACTAGGATACTCTCAATTGTAATCAGCTCGTGTGATTAATGGAAATGCATTGTTCCAAATCATCTCCCTAGTTATCTCTATCTCTTCTCCTTTCTTTCTCTTTCTCTCTAAATTCCTCTCTATTCTTCTACATCTCTTCTGCTATCTTTTTCTTTGTATCACCCAATTACAAGCACATACAAGAAGTTAAGATGCTATTAAAGCCCAAATAAAAAGGCTTAACCCCTGCAAGATCAAGGACTCAAAAAAAAATGTCGGACTTGAGGCCTATAAGGTTCAACAGTAAGCCCAGGCAATGAAAAGAGATGAACCTTGTTACTCATGACCTTTGAGTCTCAGAGAACACAAGCCCATGCAAATAGAACAGGGCCCAAATGATAACCCTTTTTTTGGGAGGGGTGAGTGAGCCAATTCCAGTTACACTTGTAGTGCTAGAGATAAGCCTTGAAAAAAGTCTCACATCTAAAAATGGTAAGAAAAATGAGGGGAATATAAGCTTGTGGCAATCCTAACCAAGCAGTTAAAGCAACTTTAGCAAAATAGATGAACCCAAGTTAAAGGCTATACAAAATGTTACAAAAGAAAAGAGCATGGACTACATTTGGCCTGGCCTGGACAACCTACCCAGGCTAGTCTACGGGCGAAATTATTTTACCTAGAATTATACAAGACCAAGTTCCAAGATGGGCAAGACTTGGCCCATATACACCCTTGGTTCATTAATACAAAACTTAGACTCTTCAATATCTTAATGAAAGCTCTAAATTAATAAAAATGTTTAACATTAGGAACCCAAAATTCAATGTGTTGTGTAGAAAAATCAACTTTGATTGAAAGAAAGAAAGAAAGAAAGAAAATAAAAGATTAAGAGGTCAAGAACAACATATCCACCTTAACTGAGGTACAAAAAGAATGGAAAGTAGAAGCTGACAAGTCCAATTAAATAAGGCTCTCAAATCAGGCTGAATTAAAAAATAAGGTTCACACAGCCCTCTTCATATATGCAACAAAACTCCATTAAAAGAAGCTGTTGCCAGTGTTAAAACACACATCCCAAGGAAAAAACATATATACCAGGGGAACATAAAGAAAGTCCTAGCCCACAAAAACTGAGGGTAAGGAGGACCCCTTAAATTTCCAAGCATTTCTTTCTGGTTAAATGCACCAAAAAACATCATAGATTGAACATTGCGATGCAACCTTTCCCTCTCTAACTTAGCCAAAGCTCCAAAAGCTAATCCAAACAAAATACCCAAAATTCAAGAAAAAAGGCCTATGATTCACCATAAACTCTTAATTAACTACTCCAAAAGGAAGCTGCTATAGACTAATGCAAAAATAAAGGGGCAGCCATTTCCAAACTATAATACACAATCTACAAATCAGGAGAAAAAGTTCTTTTTAATTTACAAACCTAGAACAAATTGTTGGCATATATCCAAACAAGCATCACTCTCCAGATGAAAGCATAGACTCAGAGTTTCTTTTTGTTTTTCTTTTTTTTGTCAGAAAGAGCTTGAAAATCCAAGATATAACAAGGATAAATATTTATTTATCTGAAGAAGGGCAATTACTCTCATATTTCTCAATAACAACATGTTCAAAACAAGTATCTTAAGCTTTTTGGATAGCTAAATTGAGTATGTCTAGAACATCTGCACACATTCTCTCTATCCATCCAAAGCTCAAAGTAATCCCAAAAGATTACCTACACTAAAAGCTAATAACAATTAGTTTGCCAAAACTCATCATATAATGCATGGTAATTCTACTCACCACATATTCCATCATTCACTCTGGATGAATATAGGTAACGGGAAACATGTCCTGCATTCCGACAAAAAAATTTCCCGCTTGGACACGCTGAAGTACCTGCATATTACATTTAAAAAAGAATAAAAGAATGAACATTGCAGAAGAAAATAAGATTGATTTAAATGTGAAGACAGAAGAAATGGCGTCGGAGTTATAGATTATCTCATGAACAGCCGGGATCCAACATCTTAACAAAGACCAGGCCAAAAAAAAAAAATAGAGAAACAGACGGTAAAGCAGAGACCTGGCTCATCGGTGCCATCGGGGCAGTCACAGAAGTCGTCATTGAGCTGAGCTTTGGTGAATTCCTTGGATCCATCTTTACATGGTATTACAGCTGACGACTTGTAATACTTATCATCTACGTATTCAAACATGATACGAGAAAGACACCCATTCAGATACAGTATCAAGAGCTCAAAATAAAAGGCGTAAATGAGGTCAAGGCGAACCTTCAGGAGCAACTCCAAGGTATGGGTCTTTGGGTTTTGAAGAATGAACTGATTTAGCTATCAACCCGCAAAATACAATGGAAATAAGGACAAATCCTAGCTTCATCTTCCGCCAAACACAATGAAATGAATTTATTTCTCGACGTGCTTGGACCCGTCAATCGTGCGTCGACTGTTCTCAGCACATACGCGCAATTAGGCCGAAAGAAAGCCAGCAACCTCCCTTGCCTGGTTATTCATGGACCTGACGGCAGGTTGCGGCTATTAGATTTTTTATATTAACTATTACTATTAATTGTATATATAATACTATGTCAAAATCAAAATTAAATCATCTGATTAAATACTTTTAAAATTTATATATTTTAATATTTAAATATAAAAATTTTTTATATTTTGATATTTTTTTTAAAGATTTTAGATCTATTCAATTTCTTCTTCTCCTCCTCTCTTTTTTTTATCTCTTTTTTTTAATCTTTTATTCTTTCATTTTTTTTCTTTTTTTCTCTTTTTTTATCTTTAATCAAATGGCTCATATACTATATTGAATTTCTTATATTAATTATTAATTATATTTAAGGATAGTATTCCATCAAATAGTTTAAGACATCTAATTAAATACTTTTTAAGTTTATATATCCATAACTCATCATCTAATATTTAAATATGAAATTTTGTTTATATTCTAATAGCAGTCGTGCGCCCTTTTTTTCTCAAAGACCACAAGAATAAGTTATAAGCAATGGAATCTTATTTATGAGACTTTTCTAGTATCAATTTTTTTAAGCAAAATAGTATTAACTTAAGATAATAAATTTGTAGCCTTTTAAATAAAATCAGTAATTTGGGCCAAACTCAATCAGCAAGCTCAAACCCGCTCGAAAAATTTAAGGTTAAGCTCAAAAAAAATATTAATTTTTTTATTGTTCGGGCCTATTTAGGCCACTTGAATAAGCCCGAGGAAATTTTAGCAAAGCCTGAATACCCAAATAAAAAAATAAATTTTTAAAAAATATATAAAATATGATAAATATTAATTAATTTTTTAAGTTTTATATCATTTTATATCAAATTACTATATATATAAGTTTTTTAATGTAGTAATTTTTTAAAAAAATTAAAAATAGTTATATCTCATATTTTTATTATTTTTAATCAATAAAATATATCAAAATAATATTTAAAATATATTTTAATATTAATTTTAATATTTTAAGACCCAATTTTTAAAAAAAATTGAGTCCTATAAATTATTTTCATATAAAAAAATAATTTTATACTTTTTCTAAATTAAGATAATTAATTTTAAATTAAAAATAATTTTAAAAATAAAATTTAGGCATGTACGAATTTCCGACCCTACTATTAGATAAACATAATAAATAAAATAATATTCTTGAATAATGACTTGATTATTGTCCATGCTAGATTTGGTTTAAAATTAAGAGTAAATTAGAGTAATAATCCCTTATATGTAAGAGTTAAACAATATAAAAAGTTAAAAAAAATGATTTCAAAAAAAAAATATTTTACTCATAATTAAATAATTTTGTTATAAAATATAATTATGGCAATTTTTTTATATTCATAAAAATGAAAAGTACAATTTACCTAAAAGTTATTAAAAACTTTGAACTAATCGGGATAATAATTTTAAATTAGTAGTCTCATTATGATTGAATTGAGATTAACTTAATCATAATTAAAATAATATAATTTAATTAAAATATACAAAATATTTATATATGACTATTATAAGAGCAATATTTAAACAACTAAGACATTAATTTACAATTAAAGGAAACATTCATGAATAAATTATACATAATATAATAAAATAATAACAGAGCTACTTAAATATAAAGTTGATAGGTTATTTTTTATTTTATTCTTTTAAAATTAAGATAATATTTTACGCTTAATAGAATTATTTAAAAATTAAAATTGATTCAAAAAATAAAGAAAAAATACTTTCAAAAAGTTTTGAGTATTTGGGCTAGCCCAAATAAGCTTGAAACCCGAAGGTATTAAAGTCGGGCTTAGTTATATAAGCTTTTTAGAAAGGATGGGATAATTTAAGCCCGATTTAAATAAGCTCGGCCCGAATTGAGCCCGGTCTATCCGAATTACCGACTCTATTTTTAAATTTGTGTAGATTAACAACGATGTTTGAAGTTTGAATATAGTGGAAGAAACTAATCCTTTATACGTCAATAAATCATGGATCAAATTTTCACTTGAAAAAAGTATTCATATTTTTTGTATCGAATAACATCTTCTTCTTCAACAGAACTAACTCTAGGAGAATATTTATGGAAAAGTTAAAAAAATTATGTCATATTTAAAGTTTTATTATTTCATTATAGAATGTTTATAGGGAAAATAACACCCAAGACCCTTCAACATTATGACCAATAGGATTTAAAGGAATCTATATTTATTTTGCAAGCACAAAAGACTTAAATGCAAATATCTTTTGAGATCAAATGATAAAGCGTGCTCAAAAACACTTTGTCACCCAAAAGTGATTGACGTTCATTGCATCTTCACCTTGGCAACATCACCAAAGGCAAACGAACTAGAAGAATGAGAAAAGTAAAGAAGGGAAGGATGAAGGACATCAAGAGAAAGAAGAAGAATGGAAGAAGGGGAAATGTAGACGAAGAGGGGGTGATAAAAATGCTAAAGAAGAAGATGATGAATAGAATAAAATAGAAGAAGATGACCAGAAGATTGTAGAAGAAGACAAAAAGAATACATTAGAAGAATATGACTTCATGCATAGAAAAGTTTGTGTTTTAATTGTTGGAACCAGTAGATAAATTTAAAGTTTGAGTCGTGCCAAGGACACTGTCCTTAAAAGCTATTCCATCATACTAGCTTGTTCGCATGGCAACTCCCCAGAATTAAACAGACCCACCCTACAAAATAAGCAAGGCCACAGAATAACAAAGACTAACAGAATATACTCAGCAACACAATACAGAGGAGAAGCTTGAGAATTGAAGAGCTGAGCTCACGGCTACACTACATTCTTGGTCCATATATAGCTAGAACCATATAGAGATCCTTAAAGCAGCAATTAAGCAACCAGTTTTATATGGAAATAACTGCCCATAAAATCATTTTATGTTGATATTGTATAACGTTGAGTGGTTGGGGAGTTATGACAATAAAACACTCATTAAACATTATTAAAATTTGATAAAATTTGAATAAAACTCCTCTTAGGCTATAACTTAACTTTTAAACACAATAAATTTGTGTTTTTCTTGAAAAGCCCAAAATACACATTAATTTAATAATTTTGCAAAACAAATCTGGTAAAAAGAATACAATGCCTCTTCAACTCTCACGTAGGAAGTGCACAAGCCAACTTCTCCTTCGAGTCCATTTATTAACTCATTTTCATTCCTTAGCATATATATACGCTAGGAGCTCTTCTCATGCGGGCAATGTGGGACTTTTCCTTTTGACATGTTTACACAATAATTACAACATTAACAAGATGACTTTATGACATTAACATGTAAAAATTCAGTATATCATGTTTTGGCAAGTTTTGTAGAATAGCATTATAAATGCAAGCTGTTGTTCTTTATTTTACGACAAGGTTTTTAAAATATTTTCAAGTACATGTTTGAAGTTTCATAAGCAAGTGTCTGGCTATCACATGTGATTCAAATTGCTTTTTTCAAGTAACGTACAACAATTCTAATTGGCAACCCAAGTATGGAATATGAGAATTGGACATCTAGCAGTCATGTGTTCGGATTTTAATAAGCAAATATTTGAGAAAAATGCTTTCAAATTTCTGTGGATGGATTCTCTAATGTTGCTAAGCCTATCTAATCATGTTCCAACGATTCAGACATGAAAATGACACTAAGAGATTAGACAAAAGGATATCAGAATTATGATAACCCAAAAAAAAAATTGAAGAACAAATGTGTCTATTTATAGATTAAACAAAAGGACATTTTTTGTATAAGGTTATTTTCTGCATCAACAAAATCCAAAATTTTAGGCTTGAGACGCACATCCACCATAGCCATTGGTTTCTTTGTGGCTTGTCTTCTCAGCTTGTATCATAATTCCAAACTTTTCCTTATATAAAGAAGATGAAAACAAATTTCTTTGAAAGGGAAGAATAACAAAACCTATCAAGACAATAGCTTGCAAGATATACCAAACTTATAAAAAAAATAATATACTAAACTTTTACATGTTAATTTCATAAAGTTGTTAAAACATAAACTTTTACTTATCAATGAAATTGAACACAATTATATCTAAAGTCATTTTCTTCTTCAAATATTTGATTGTCAAAATCCAAACATTTGCGACCCGATGTCCAGCCCTCATACTTCGTATATGTTATGGCAACCATTTTTTTTTGGGTAAGTTAAAAAAAAAACAAAATACCACACGTGATAACTAGATGCTTGCTTGTAAAAATTTGAACACATACTTTTTAATATCTAAATACCTTGTTGTAAAGTATAGAACAATAGCTTTCATTTATGGCAAGGTTGTTTTATAATATCAAAACATGATATATTGAACTTCTACATGTTAATATTGTGAAGTTATGTTGTTAAAACTTAAATCTTTACTTGTCAATGAAATTAAACACAACTGTATTTGAAGTCATTTTTTTCTTTAAAGATTTACTTGCTAAAACTCGAACATGCGATAACCTAATGTCCAACCCTCATATTTCATATTTGGTTTGACAACTCAATTTTTTTTTGGTAACTTAAAAAAGGTAATTCAATACCACATGTGATGACCAAATATTTGCTTATAATGATATGAACATGTATTTATTAGTATTTGAACACCTTGTTATAAAATACAAAACAAAAGCTTGCATTTGCAAAGTTACCATGAAGAACTTGTCAGAACATGATAGATTGAACTTTTATATGTTAATGTCATGAAATCACCTTGTTAAAATATAAGCTTTTACTTGTTGATAAAATTGAATGCAACTATACATGAATCATCTTCTAATGTATTATCTTCTTCCTCTTCTTTTGCTATATGTTATGTTGATCTTATGTTTTGTTCTATTCATCTTCTATATTTTTATCATCCTCTTCTTCTTCACTTGCATTTCCCCCTTCTTCCACTCTCCCTCGTCTTGACTGCCTTCATCATTCTCTTCTTTCTCTTCTCTTTCTTCCTATGATTCATTTGCTTCCAGGGTGAAGATGCAGTGAACATCAATTGCCTCTGGGTGACCG